TTTAAAGATTTTATTTATTTACTTGACAGAGAGAGAGAGACAGCTAGAGAGGGAACACAGCAGGGGCAGTGGGAGAGGGAGAAGCAGGCTTCCCGCTGAGCAGGGAGCCCGATGCGGGGCTCGATCCCAGGACCCTGGGATCACGACCTGAGCCGAAAGCAGAGGCTTAACAACAGAGCCACCCAGGTGCCCCAATCCGAGTTCCCCTTTCAATATCCACTTACGCCTGCTTCCTTACGAAGAGGGCCCCAATTTTGTTCGAGGTATTAATCTGCCCTGTGAGAAATTCTCCCCCCCGCCACGTCCCTGCAGCTAGGGGTAGGGCCACATGACGACTTCCAGCCAATGACACGTATGTTGAAGTCTACATGGCAGGACTACCTAAAAAGCTATTGCTTTCACAGGCTTAGACACATGTTTTTTGTCAGGGTCCCTTTCTTTTCTTCCTTCCTGGAGTACAGCTGCTCAAATGAACTAAGAAAAGGGTGCTATTCAGCGGTACAAACCTATTCTTACTCTAGAAGCAAGCTATAGGCGCTCTCAATCAATTCACAACTAAGTTATATCGCAAGGCAAAATGTTCAGGCATCAAAAGGAAAAAAGCAATTCCAACTGGAAGTGAAGAACGATATACCCATGTCTGTGTCAAAGTATATATAAAAATTTAGCATTTAAGGGCTCTTTCAAATCCATGGGGGATACAGACCATCACTAGATGGTGTAGGGACAAAAGTGCTACCTTGTAACATACAAAATAATAAAGACAGATGAATGGTCTAAGCAACAGAAGCCCAAACCCTAAAAGTGCTAAAAGAAAATGCAGCGATTGAAAATGGTCTTTTGAAGCATTATCCAAAGCCACAAGCTATAAAGTTAGACTATGAGATTGGGCACCACAGAGATTCAGAATGAAATGTATCCTGAAATGTATGGTACAAGCGAAACCGAAAGACAATCGTTTGGGAGAAAATACTGCAACGAGTACAGAGGCAAAGGACTACTATCCGACCTATAAAAAGTTCCTACAAATCAATAAGAAAAATATAAATACCCAAACAAAAAGACAACAACCCAGCAGGAAAATGATAACGAGCGAGGATTCATGTAAAAAAGTATCCGTGAAAAAAGTATCAGTGATAGGGACCAACTAAAATTGCTCAGTATTACAGGTGATTATAAAAATATAAATGTAAGGGGCACTTGGCTGGCTCAATCGGTTAAGCATCTGACTCTTGATCTGGGCTCAGATCATGGTCTTAGGGTTGTGGGATCCAGCCCCATTCAGGCTCTGCACTCAGTGGGCAATCGGCTTGAGATTCTCTCTCTCCGTCTCCGTCTGCCCTTCCCCCGTGTTCGCTCTCAAATAAATCTTTAGAAATATGTTTGTATGTGTATAAATACATAGAGCTACATCTATAAATTCAAATATATATAAAATAAATACGTATTTAAATTTAAATATAAAACATACATTTATAGATAGAGAGAGAGATAAAAATTGAAAACAGGCATTATTTTTCCCCTGCCACTTGACAAAAAATTTAAAAGACTGAGAAATACTCTGTGATTAGCATCTCATTTACCATGGGTGAGAACCAAAAATGACATAACCACTCCTGAGGATCATTTTGCAGAAGTTTTTACCCTGAAATCTATCTCGAGGGAAAACTCAAACACACATGCAAAGATGTTCATCACAGCCCTATCTTAATAGCAAAATCATAGCCACCCAAATAACAAACAGAATCGTCACGTAAAGTACAACCCCACTGTGGAAATACATTCAGACATTAGAAAACTGTAGGCATGAAAACCTGTAGGCACACTATATTCAAATGAGGCTGAGTGGGGGATATGTATTCACTTTTGTCATTTAAAAAGTTAACCCTGAAGGGGCACCTTGCTGGCTCAGTTGGAAGAGCATGTGACTCTTGATCTGGGTGTTATGAGCTCTAGCCCCAAGTTAGGTACAGAGAGATCCCTTAAAAATAAAACCTTAAAAAAAATTAACCATAAAAGAAAAATAATTCGTATTCTAGATCTGAGACCACTGTTTTTCACAGATCTTTTCAAAAATTAATTTGTTCCCTTTTGGAAAAAATGGGGGGGAGGCAGCGCAAATCCAGTAAAGCCATTATTTATTCGACTTTCTTGATGGGCAAATTTGGCAGCTAATTTATCCTAACCAGAATATTCTCATCCGCAAGTGACATGTCTTCTCTGGGGAGGAAAAGCAGCAGCCCCCACCTTCAGAATATTTCAGATCAAAATCCCAGCCCTGCACTCTGGACAGAGCCGGGAAGATGCCATCAGTGAGCTGCAAGGCCTAGGCCCTCCAGAAAATGCTGCCTCTCCCAAGAGGTGATCCTCTGACCCACTTGCACGTCGAGGGCGACGTTTTTCGACGCGGCTGACATCAGAGAAACTTCTGCAATTCTCACAATACCATTTCCGTCTTACAGCCCCTGGCCTGGTTTCTAAAACACACAGACCACTCAAAACCAGGGAAACAGAACATGGGAATTGGGAGCCCTCATCAGGAAAGAGAACCATGAGCATCTCCATTCAGTTCCTCATCACTCGGCCGGCTCAGAAATACTTACTAGGGGTCTACAAGGCTCATGGCACTGAGACACACATGGTCCCTCTCGGCACCGCTATTCCCACGGGGCAGACAAACATTAAACGAGATGTCTGCGGAGCAACGGGACTGACTGCCCCAGAGGAGATGCACAGAGAACAGATAAGGGGCTGGACCTTGTCGAGGGTGTCAGGGGCCTCCGGAGGGAGCCGCATCTCACACGAGCCAGAAGGCTGGGCACCTTCTTGGACTCATCGGCCTCACCCACATCCCATCTGTCAGTACATCCCATCAGCTCTCCCTTCAACACGTACCCAGAATCTGGATCGATTCTCAGCACTTCCACCCCTACCATCCTGATCCAAGCCAGCAGCATCTCTGACTTGGAATATTCCAGGAGCCTACTAACTCATCGCCCTGCTTCCCCCCTCGCTGTTCTCAACAGAGAAGCTGAACTCATCCCATTAAAACCCAAGTCAGGTCACCTCATTCTTCAGTTCAAAATCCCCCAGTGGCCACCATCCCAGGTCCCTAACACCCTATCTGCTACTCTTCCCCTTCTCCCTCACTCTGGCCTTGTCATTCCTGGAACAAGTCAGGCCAGCTCCCTCCACGGAGGGCTTCCTACTCGCCCTTCTCTCTGCCTGGGACACTGTTCCCACAGACATGCACAGGGCCCACTCCCTCAACCTCCTGCAAGGCTTTCCCCACTCTTGTCCTCAGGGGGCCGTCCCTGGCCATCCCAGCTCAGAGGACAACCCCTTCCAACGCTCCTACAGCATCCAGGACCCCTGATGCGCCAGATTCCTTGCCTCTGTGTTTCCTGGCTGCTTCTCTCCCTGGAAGAAAGGCTCCCTAACAGCTCCACCGAGGTCTGTCTGGGTCACATCGGGAAGCGCACAAGAACCGAGCCTCTGGCAACTGAGAAGGCGTTCAATAAAGAATGTGCAGTGACTGCTGCAGTCATCTGAGGGAAGATGAGAGCTCGTGAGGCAAGGCGGGTGGGGGAAAGAGCATCTTGGGCAGAGGGAGCAGCCGAGCCGCCCCAAGGCCGGCGGGCACAGGGCACATTGGAAGGAATGACCGGATCGAGTACAGCAGGGAAGGCGAGCGGGAGGCAAGACTGGAGAAGAAGGACGGAGCAGCCGTGCACACACAGAAGGAACGTTTCGGTCTATCTCGAACGGCAACAAGAAGCCAGGAAACTAGGCAGTGACATGAACGAATGGGCCTTCCACAAACCTCTGGCTTCAGGGGGAGATAGGGATTTGGAGGCGGTAGAAGCGCCTGGAAGCTCAGTAAGCAGACTAGAACCATGGCGCAGACCACAAATGACCTTAACTCGGAATGAGAGGGCAAAAGCAGAGGTGGAGAAAAGGAGGTAGATTCCAGAGATATTTAGCAGATAAAATCACAGGTCTGGGAGAATGATCACACAAGGGGGTAAGGAAGTAAAAGCAGAGTTCCAAGAGGACTCCTCCCTTTTGCACGTGGGACCTGAAGGACACAGTGGCCCGATTCACGGAGTTGGGGTGGGGTGGGGGGGGTGGCGAGGAGGAGAATACAGGAAGGGGATCTTGAGAAGTTTTGGAAAGAATGGATTTGCCATAATTCGGAGACATTGAAATACAGATTTCCAGTTGGCAGCGGGAGACCCAGGGAACCGTGAGAGGATCAGGAAAAGCAAAGTGAGTCGCCACACAGTACAGATTCTCACCTTGTGGCTGATGGGGAATCAAAGGGTTTCGAGGAACGCAGTAACAGGAGAAGATGTGGGATTCCAAGAAGATCACCCTGGCCAGAGCAGGAGCACGTGGATGGGAGAGGGAGCTGGATGAGAAGCAGGCAGAACAAGAGGGACCTGCTGCAACAGAGCAGGTAGGAGAAGGGACCGGAGCCAGGGCTGTGGCCACAGGGAAGGAAAGGGGAACAGACCTGCTCTTTGTCAGCAGTGCATCTCCCACGAGGCTCCTGGGGACCGTCCGAAAACCCGGAGCACGTCAGCTCCCCCACTTGACCCCTTGGTCCTCGCACGAGTCATTCTCTGACAACCTCCCCAGAATTCTCTCTTGCTCCCCGCTCCCTGGCCCAATGTCAGGTGCCGATGACACAGCCCTGGGCTTCCACGGCCAGGCTAGTTTCTTCTGCCCTGCAAACACCTATTTGTCTTTTGAAGGCTTCCCCCCTCCACTGGCAAAGAAGCAAGAGCAGTGCTGACATCGAGGAGGCGGCCTGGCACCATGAGCCGGGCTGCACGGCTGGTCGCCGCGGGCCTGGCGCTCCAGGAGACGCCACGTGCTTCTCCGGTTGCACGCAAATGACCTCGCAGAACAGCAGCTTGAGGTGCCGTGGCCCCGGTGATGAAGGGACACCAAAGAGGACCCCTTGCTCTTTTGTCCAAACAGACAAAAACCAGCTTGTCGTGCCCACCCCCAAATGCCAATCCTCCTCTCTCCCGCCTGATACCAGCGAGTGTCTTCCTTGTGAATGACACCGTCCGTCACGCTCTTCACACCTCCTTCTAGAAAACACTGATGGAGCTACCCGATCCCAGAACTGTCTCGCCTCGCCTCGCCTCAGCACCCAGACCAGAGCACACCCCTGCTTCCTTGAACACTCCCAAAAACATCCGCCCAAAGCCCAAATCCTGTAAGTTCTTTCTAACACCCTCTTTCTTACGGATCAGCCCCACAGTCCCCATGACGTGGGTTCCCCCTCAGGATGAGTAACGAAGCCACTGTGTTTAACGACAGCTGTGCTTCCAGTGGCCTTTGTGGAGGATGCTGACCACCGTCACGGGAGGAAGGGATGGTTCCCTTTCCTGGAGGGAATCCTAGGTGTCCTGGGAGGCTAACTGGCTTTCTTAGTGCGATTTTAGGGGCTTTATGGCTGTAACCTAGGGCAGCAGGAACCAGCCTAACCCACAGCTAGGACATAGCTGGAACCAAATAATATTCAGAATGGAGGGAAATCAAGGGGCGCCTCGGTGGCCCAGTTGGTTCAGCGTCCGACTCCTGATTTCACATCAGGTCATGATCTGAGGGTGCCGAGACTGAGCTCCAAGTTGGGTTCCACACTCAGTGTGGATTCTGCTGGAGATTCTTTCCCCCTCCCTTTCCCTCCTCTTCTGGCCCCACGCCAGGGGCATGCACTCTCTCTCTCTCTCTCTCTAAGATAAAGAAGTAAATAAAATCTGTATTTAAATAAATAAATAATGGAGGGAAAGCAAAAGAAGTAAGAATTATTTAGGGAAGGCTTCACTCTGTGTCAGACCCGGTGCTAACTGCCTTGGATCTATTGCTCATTTAATCCTTACATCCCAAAGGTGGGCTACCATTTTTATCCCCATTCCAAACACAGGACTGAGGCACAAAGTGATCTGCCCACGATTCACGCAAGGAATCTCTACGTTATTAATCACATGACTTTCTGACAAAGTTTAAGGGTTTAACACACTACAGTGAAGATGCACATCACGGTATCACAGAACTTGGAAGGACAGAGCCCTGCAAAATGTCCTCAAACGTTAACTTATGGATTCTCCCAATCTTCTTGCATGTTGTTCAGATAAAGGAAAGCCCGGTGCAAAAAAGGCTTTCATGAAATGCAACCAGATGACAAATATACGTGGTCTTTAGAGCCCCGGGCCCATCCCAGAAGACTCTGACTCAGTGAGTGTAGAGGAGGACGTGAACATCTGTGTTTTCTTTAAATAGCCCCACAGGCTCTGCTGATGTGCACTCTGGGCTGGGTACCACTGTACTCTCTGCAATTCCAAACCCAAACTTGCCCTACAATGTTTAGATGGCTGCAGACACAGGGGGGCATCGAAAACTGAGGCAAAGAAGAACAGAGAAATTACAAAAACTATCCCCTAGAGAGTCAAGAAAAGGAAAGCTCTAGTTATATTACTTCTCTGTCCTTTGGCTGTGTCTGAATTACTCTACAGTTAACTTACTTTGTTTTAAGTAGGCAAGTTTGCTAAAACGTTTACCAACAAATACTAAATAATCAAGACTACCAATACATTTTAAATAAAATTATACTATGCTACTGAAAAGTATTTTCTGATTATTTCAATGGCACTTCAGAGTCTCTTAGCAAGTAGCAGTCGATATGCGAACATTATTTCTAATTCAACAGTTCTACACATGTGGTCAACAGCACCTGAACACTGGAGAAGAAATGAAGTTGGCTGGAAGGCTTTTAGCTTCCCAAATTTCACCACACACTACCGTCAAGTCTTCAATACCAATGTATGTATTTACCTCTTTATTTAATCAACCACCACTAACACCCACTACATGTCAGACAGGGCTCTACGTGTTTCATTAACGTTAAATATCATTTATCTTTACAATCATCTAAGAAGTGGGATTATCATCATCTCCATTTCTCACATCAGGAAACTGAGACCCAGAATGGTTTAGGAACACAGCTCATAAGAGGCAGAGCTCCGATCAGCTTGGCTCTGGACTCCATGTCTTAAATCACTATGTTTAGTCTCCAGGAACCTACAAAAACTGCAAGTCTTAACCCCGAACCTTGGCTTGCCCACCCTACAGTCCCTACAGTCCCTACGTGGCCCCGGCTTCAAGGGCATTCCCTCAATTCCTTTCACAGTTCACACTCCTTCCCTGCTCTAAGTGAACACCCTCCCACATCCCCGTTTTTTTCTTAGCCTTCTGTTCTCAGCTTAAACATTACTGCCTAAAAGACAAACTCGAATGCACCCCGTAGTTCTCAGCACTCGAAGCAAAACGGTAATTATGTATTTCATGGGCAATTATTTGCTTCCAGTCTTTTCCAACCAGGTGGTGATAGGGTAGACGCCGTATCTGTCCTATTTATCCTGGGTTCCCAATCGCTGAATACCCACCCCCCCCACCCCCCCAAAGAGAAGGGCCTACCACGAAGTACACTCTCAACACTTTCTGTTGAACGAACGAACGAACGAACGAACTACACCCCAGCCTGGGCTTTCCGACACCTATCTGTGCTCACAACACGGCCCCCACTGCACCCCTAGAACGCAGCCTCCTGCGGCAGACACGCAAGAGCTCTGCAAAGTCCTGGCTCTGCGCACCACTACTACGTGCTCCTGGGCAGACCATCCCCCCCGCCCCGCCCCAACACACCTTGACTGACCTGATCTCAGGTGCACAACGGGCACCCTGACGATCCCCAACGGAATGTGACCTATGCAAGAGGAAGAACCTGCACTCCTCCTCCCCTCTCAACGCTAGACTTCCTTGCTTCTCGTCGGGCTTCCATAAGGACTCGAGCCCCAAGGAGGCCAAGACCCCGCCGGCCTGCTGCAGGCCGCATTCCCAGTCACGCTCCCCCCAGGCCTGGCGCACAGCACAAGGGAGGTCATTCTCCGCTCCAGGAATGAAGCCCCGCGCCGGGCACTTCACACGTGCGAAACGAGGGTCGCACGAGGTGACGGCGCCCTTTTGGCGAACGAGCGTGTTCCGGAGACACAGGCCCGCCCCCCACCCAGGCCCCAGGCCCCAGGCCCCCGGGGACGCTGGGTCCCCGCGCCCGGCAGGCACCTCTGCACGGAGAAGCATCTTCGCAAGGGCCGCGCACTCCCTCGTCGTCTGGGTCTGTCGAGGAGGACGAACAGGAGCTGAAAGAGGCCGTCCTCGGACGAGCGCCCATGGCCGTGGAGGTTCCGGGGTGCTGTCCCCACCGAGAACAACGAAACCGGGTCCCCGGGCGCTGGGGGGACGAGCCAGCCTCGGAGAGGGAAGGAGGGCTCGCTTCCGCCGCGCTCAGCTGCCGGGGCTCAGACCCGCCGCTCACGTCAACCGCCCAACAACCTTCCCGCTCATTGGCGCTTCTGCCCAGACGCTGATTGGACAGCTTCCCGCCCGCTCGGCCCGCGGACGCGCCCCTTGGGTGCCTCCTCTGGCCCCGCCCACAGAGCCCTGGGCACCGTCTACCCCTCCTTTCCCGTCACCACCTGGCGGGACCGCCGTCAAAGCCCCGTCTTCCTTCGCTCCTGGTGCTGTTTTCTGAGTCTGGCGTCTGTGTGTTCATCACAAGCTTGAAATGGCTGTAGTCTGTCGCAAGGCCAGCTTTCCCCCCACTGAAGTGCTTTGGCTCCCTTTTCAAAACTCAGTTGAGCGTATTTGTGGGGACTCTTTCTGGGTTCTTTGTTCTGTTCTATTGATCTGTGTCTGTCCTTCTGCAGATACCACACAATCGTCCTTAGTAAAACTATCGCAGAAGTTCTGAAACTGGGTACACTGCATGTTCCCACTTTATTATTATTTTCAAAATTGTTTCTGAAACTACTCTTCATTCCTCTGTCTATCCACATACACTTTAGAATCATCTTGTCTATCAATCTACAAAAGAAAACAAACCCTGACTGGGTTTTGACAGGAATTGCATTAAATCGATCTATCAATCTGGGCAGAATGAACATCTTCACTATGCTTAGGCTTCCAATTCACAAACATGGTATATCTCTGCATTTATTTATATCTCCGATTTCCTCTATCAGTGCTAACGGCTGTGGGCATGCGAGTGCTGGACATGCTTTGTTCGATTGATCCCTAAGTATAGTTTTACTAGTAATTGTGAACGTATGTTTGATAGTGGAGCCCACATGTTCGTTGCTAGCATACAGCAATACAACTTTTACATGTTTCTTCTGTATACTGTTTCACTGTGAAATGCCATTAGTAGTTGTAAGAAGGCTGACATTTTCATAACCTCTTGGGGCATAAGGCCTGAAATGAAGATTCCATATTAAGGGCTGTCTTCACACCAGGGACAATCAAGGAGGGACGGAAACAGCCTAATGCAAGTTCTCCTCTCCCTCCTCCCTCACACGTAAGGTCTCCTAAGCAAAAACCCTTCTCATCACAGGGACCAGACATAGTGCCTGTTGATTTGGGGGAGCAGCGTTCAGTTCCCTAGAAGCCCACTGAATTCTTCAAGCAAGCCACTCATACCCTCCCAAGGGAACCAGGACTTGCCCCACCTTCTTGTTAGGACAAAGTCTTGCCTTCCAAGCCCCTGCTTGTTCCCTCTGTTCCCAAGTGCAATTCCTGTGCAGCCCTGCACAGTGTGTGGTATCCTCCTCCCTTGAACTGTGAGAATATGTGACTAGTCAACTGCTGCCAGTCACATCTGTCAGGTGTCAAGGGATCCCTACAAGCCTAGAGCAGGAATCTCTCTCTCGTCAGGGAACTGAGGAGAAGCTGAATAAAAGCAAGTGACATCACAAACAGGGTGGCCCCACCTTAACTGAGGACACGGGGTCAGCTTGACGTGCTCCTTGGCTTCCTAACTGGCTTCAGAGGGGACAATCACGATCTGGGAGGGAACTGGCAACTGCGGGCCAGCTTGTGTGTTAGCTCGTGTTCTGTTAGCTCCAATGGAGGTCGCCATCCGTTTCCAAACCAATGTCCCATCCTTGCCAACAAGTTGAGTACAGATGCGACTTGACTGTACCTAGGAGGGAGGTGCCATCAGTGTGACCTCCATCTGGCCTGTATCGGTCTCCAAGGCTCCCCGCTGAGGTCGGCAACCCCACGACCTGCTGACTGGGGTGCTTGAGTTCCACCGACTGGGTGTTGGGCCAGTGCTTGGGGCAGACAGACAGATCCGGGTGGGGAGAGCGCACCCCACGCACCGTCCTGGGGATGACCCTCTGTGTTGTGGGTGGAAAGGAAGGGGGCCACGACCCCAGGGAGATGTAAGAATGGCTCCCTGGCTGCCTCCTGAGTCACTGTGGGTCAGGCAACGCGAGTGGCCTTGCCCATCTCCCCAGCTGCCGCTCCTCTCCCCGTTACCGTGTGTCCCCCGGAGCCCTCAGGGTTTGGAGGCGCACATCCATGGCAGCCCAGGGCCCAGGAGCTGATGAGAAACACAAAAGTGGAGGGTCGGCCGTTTGGTGCTCCACCTCTCTCCCAGTGCAAAACCCCTCCTCCACACACTTGCTTTCTCTTAGTGTTGTTGCTTCCCAGCGCGTCCAGGGACTCATCTCTGGATCCAGGGCCTTGAGGCTCCCACTCTGGCCATGGACAAAATGACCTTCCTGGCTGTGGACTCCAACACTGGGGAGATGGACTGGCATGCCCGCAGGAAGAGGACAGTCATCTGTGGGGCCGACCCACCCAGCTCCCTTTCCCCATAAACACCCAGAACATGTGCACCACGTCTGAATAGCTGGAGACAGAAACAAAAACCCATGACTTTATGGGGCTAGAAATGAAATAGTCTCCTGAGGGAATCGGTAGAGTGGGAAAAGGGGGGAGGGGAAGCCGTCCACACTGAGAGAAGGTAGGGCTGTAGCAGAAGATGCTTTGGCTTTATCAACGTCTGCGCTGTGGGTCCTGTGCTCTTTCACTTACCACCCCACTGCCTAAACCTGTTTGGCACAAGATCGCCATCCTCAGGGTCGTGGGGGAAACATCCGTGGCACCCCTGTGGCACAGTGAGGGTATCAATTCACACCCTGACTTACGCCAGGACACCTGAAACCATACGACCATTGCCACGACAGAGGCTCCAACCCTAATGATGCTGATTGGAGACTCTCTGGAAGAAAAAACGGAGAAAGATGAACAGGGTAAAAAGACACTCCCTAACCCAAGCATATATCCAGGACCAAACAAACCCAAGAAAAGGAGGAATGGAAGAAAGAAAACTGGATACAGGAAGAGGAACCCCCCCAAATTAATTCGACATAGGTTCACAATTTGACCCAACTGGAAATCCAAAATTCACAGGGGCGCCTGGGTGGTTCGGATGCTTAGGCGTCCGACTTCGGCTCCAGCCGTGATCCCGGGGACCTGGGATTGAGCCCCATGAGAGGCTCCCTGCTTGGAGGGGAGTCAGTCGGCTTCTCCCTCTGCCTCTGCCTGCAGCTCCCCCTGGTTCCTGCTCTTTCACACCTGCTTGCTGTCTCTCTCTCAAATGAATGAATAAACCGTAAAAAAAAAAAAAAAAAAAAAAAAAGAAATCCAAATTTACTAAGATAATTTATATGGCAAAAGATAAAATGAGGTCAACTGGCTTTTGGCCCTCTAAAACATAGGTTCTGAATTAACGTTAATGTCTGCTAAGATGTACCAGTTGGGTAACCTTCATGGATTCGATACCAGGGCTCCAATTATGCTTGTACCTAGTAAAATAACCGTATTTTCTAGCTTCTGTATTTAATGCTTTGACATCTCAGACTTGCTGACTTTGGAGGGACTGTCCCTGGCAGGCTTAGTTAATTCTTAGAAAAAGTCCACAACTGGCCTGGGAGCATACCTTTCACATCCAAACCAACCGGTACAGAACCCTTACTGCCAACCACCTCATCTTAAGCAGCTCTGGGCCACTATGGCCTCCCTGATCACCGCAAGGGCGGGACAGACTCCTGCAGACACCACTCTGGCCTGGAGCCCCCTGAAATTACTCAAACTAGCCAGTCTTAAACGTGCTTATCCTGCCTCACCTGTCCCTTCCCATGGAAACCACAATAAAGGGTCTTGCCCACATTTTCCCTTCACTCCCTCTTTCTCCTGACCAATCCTGGTGCTTCCCCAGGTGGCCCTGCAAGGCTCTCAGAACCTCCTTTCTTGGGGCCTCTAAATCTACAAAACTTCTTCCATTGTGACAGTTACTTCTATATCTTCCTAACTTATCATACCTGATTAAAATAAATCCTGGTCCCCTGAAAACCTCTGAGACCCCTAGGGCCACCTGGGTGGCTCAGTGGGCTACGCTTTCTTCTCAAGTCATGGTCTCAGGTTCATAGGATCCAGCTCCATGTTAGGCTCCGTGCTCAGGGTGGAGTCAGCTTGGGAATCGCTCACTCGGCCCTTCCCTCCGCCCCCCCCGCCCCAACTGGGCTCGTGCACTAGGTGTCTCTCTCTTTAAAATAAAGAAATAAAATCTTTAAAAAAAAACACAAGGGAGCCCAACAAATTTAAGGATGGGGAATATTTTGCTAATATAGATTTGGCCAATATGTTCTGTTCCATGCGTATTTCAACATCCTCTCGGTCAAATGTGCCTTGACTTTGAAGGGGACACATTTTACCTTGTTAAGCACAGGGCACCCAAACCTCTCTGCTATCACAGACATCTTTGTGGGCAGGATCTTACTGCACCCGTCCTTCTCCAGGGACATAGGTATGACATCACATTTACGACTACCTACTGTGAGGACATTTGTTTGACACACTTGTTAAGGACATGCAGGTGCAGGGGCGACTGAGTGGCTCAGTCCATTAAGCGTCTGCCTTCGGCTCAGGTCATGAACCCAGGGTCCTGGGAACAAGCCGCGCATCAGGCTCCCTGCTCACTGGGAAGCCTGCTTCTCCCTCTCCCTCTGCCCCTACCAGCCCCTTGTGCTCTCACTCTCGTGCTCTTTCAAGTAACCAAATAAAATCCTTACAAACAAGGAAGGACATACAAGTCCAAATTCTGTCAGTATTTTTTTTTTTTTTTTTTTGGTTCTAGAGGCAACATATTCCTTGTTTATAAATTTTACATAAGCCCATTTAGGCTGCTACTTGTCACTGAGCCCACGCTGGGTGGGGCTCCCCTCAACAAAAGGCTCTAGGATCTGTCCAAAACAACTGTGAGGGGGCGACTGGCTGGCTCAGTTGGTGAAGCGTCGGCCTTTGGCTCAAGTCATGATCTCAGGGTCCTGAGATCCAGCCTGGCAGGGAACTCCCTGTTCAGTGGGGAGCCTGCTTCTTCTCCCACTCCCTTTGACCTCCTCCTCCAGCTCCAACTGTCTCTCAAATACATAAATAAAATCTTAAAAAAAAAAAAAAAATCACCCGTTAGTGCCCTAAGTAAAAAGGCTTTAGCAACTACCTCTCCAGCTTCCTGGAGTCACTGGAATCGTCCATGGACTCCCAATGCAAGAAATGGCCCTCCTTGGCCCTGGGTTATAGACCATGAAAGCAGCAATTGCTGACCATGCACTGGGCTCTCCTGGAAACGGAGTCTCTTACAGACTCTGAGCCTTCATATCCCGCTGTCTGCTCTGCCTCGGGTCATGATACCCCCACCAGCTTAATGTAGTTACCAAGGCCTTCTTGCTACAGGCTGAAGCCAAAGTCTGCATATCCAACCTGCAGGTGGGGGTGGCTGCTTCTATCCACAGTCCATTGCCAGATTCCATGGTGCTGGAGGACGTCAGCCTTTCCTTCTACCCCTTGGCTACCTAAGGATTCCCTTGGGATCAACTGAGTGACCATCAATGACCGTTGATACATTTTGGTTTTGAAGACCAACTCCCCCTCTTGTTCACGTGACAATTTCACTTCCTAGAGAAGCACCTGTCCTACTCCTTAAAAGTCTCAGTCCCAGGTTGAAATTGATGTCTAGATATCAGAGTCCACTGTGATGGAAAGCCTGAGATTAAGATTCAATAGGAAGTGTTGTCTTAGTATCAGGGAACATCAGAGGGCCTCCAATGGCCTCGGTCTCACCCAAAGTTCCCTTCCCCCTCTGCTCCCACAGATCAGGTCTCCTGGCCAAACGACCTTCTTTATCCCAGGGACCAGGCACAGTTTCTCCCCAAGGAGTAAGGTCCATTTCCCTGACAGCGTGTGCAATTATCCAGCAAGCCAGTCATGCCCTCCTGCAGGAAGTAGGGCTCACCGTCACTCTCTTGTTACTACAAGGTCTGCCCCCGCCCCAAAGCCCTTCTTCATTCTGCTCCCAGGTAAAACCCCCTTGTGGCCCTGCATGGTGTGGGCCACGAGTAGACATGGGTAATAAATTAGTGTCGAGCTCATCTGTTCAGCATCCGGACATCCCATAACTTTAGGGTGGGAATCACTCCCTTTACCAACGGGTGAAGAGGAGAAAAATGAAATCCTTCTGCTTTGTACCTTTGGCAAGGCACAACGATGAGGCTCATGCACTTGAAGTTCTTTGGATAAGAATCTATTGGGGGCTTGTAAGAATTCCCTGCGGCTAAAGGGCAGCCTGTATGTGAATGATGCGCAGGAGGGAAGGCTGCAAAAGCAAGGGCTTGGATGGTCTCCTAAAGGTCGAACTCCAAGCAATGAGGGAACCCACAAATAATGGCAGCAGGGAAGTGACATCAGATTTTCGTCTCAGTTCGCCCTGACAGCAGCATGGAGAATGGATTCAAAGGAGGCCGAGTGTGGAACCAGCAAGATCAGTAGGCAGTCTACTGCACTAGTCTGTGCAAGAGACAGGAATGGGTGAACCAGAGCACTGGCAACAGAAAGGGAGGGAAGGATTTAAGATATTTGGCAGGCTGAAGATACAGCACAATGGAAAATTAATGGAATGAGATCTTTCAAGAAGTCTGAATGGGAGGCGCCTGGGTGGCTCAGTCAGTTTAGCGTCTGCCTTTGGTTCAGGTCATGATCTCAGTGACCCGGGAATCAAGCACCACATCAGGCTCCCTGCTCAGCAAGGGGCCTGCTTCTCCTTCGCCCTCTGCCACCCGCCCTGCCTGTGCTCTCCTGCTCTGTCAAATAAATAAATAAAATCGTTAAAAAGAAGAAGAAGAAGAAGAAGAAGAAGAAGAAGAAGAAGAAGAAGAAGAAGAAGAAGAAGAAGAAGAGGGAGAAGGAAGAAGAAGGAGAAGGAGAAGGAGAAGGAGAAGGAGAAGAAGGAGAAGGAGAAGGAGAAGGAGAAGGAGAAGGAGAAGGAGAAGGAGGAGAAGGAGAAGGAGAAGGAGAAGGAGAAGAAAAGAAGTTTGAGTGGATGGTTTCCAGAGTATAGTGGAGTAATGAGCCTGGCACTGCAAACGAAGATTTGGAGTGGCTTCTGAGGAAAGGAACAAGGGAGTTGACCATGGACATTTGAAGTAAAAACCGATTAAATACTGATCAGTAGGAGCTAGTTCGGTAATTTAGGGTATATCCACAAAGGCCTGCATTTCCTTTTAAAGAATGAATTGGAATTCATTCACATTTGTAAAGATCTCGAAGGCAGAGTGATTTTTTTTTTTAAAAGCAAGTCATAGAATACTATACGCCCAAAAAGACAAATATACATATATTTCTAAAGGCCTGAGATAAATCAGGTTACCCATGAAGTAGATTCCCAGGCAACATAAAATGAAATGGAAAAAACAATTAAAAATAAAAAAGGAGAAAGAGAAATGGGACATAACTGGGAAAATCAAACTCGCATTTTTTAAAAAAATGTATTCATCTTAAACTTTCATGCTATACACCCAGTTTCTCCAACAAGGCGTGGGTGCTCATGTATTTGATAAGTTGGGAACATTAAAACGAGTGGATGTTTTCCTTACCAAAGGTATATGTATATACATGCTCCTTATGAAAACATCAAAGCATTACAAACAATACTGGAAGTACCATTGACCGCAGCCCCCAACCCCACCAGTGTCTACTCTCATAAGAAATACCCACCATTTTCAGTTTGGTGAATACCTCTGCAGTCATTAAAAGATGCCTTTTTTTGTTAACTCATAAAAGAATATTTTTATTAAGCTGAAAGCAAGACTGCAAATATATTACGTTTTGCAAAAGGACATTTTGGGATTAGGTAAACACACAGAGTGACTTGGGGTCTTCCGAGCACTGTCTCATCTCTGGCTTGAGAATCCTCTATTTCTTTGAGAGGCCTTTGGCCGCCATTCCAACCTTCTCCGCAGGTGACAGTATTTGGGGTGCGTACGTGGGCAAAGCATCAGTGACGGCATTTAGAAGAAGGTGCTCCGATCCATCCGCTTCCGGTCCAGGTGGGGTAATAAGAGACACCGTTGTGGTGCGGGGCTTCACATCTTTTTTCCGGGATGTGGATGCTAGGGTAGTGTTCAGACGTGCTGGGCCTTGTTTCATAGCCAGTTTTCCCCTTCCTCCGGGATCTGGGGGCTTCACGTCATGAGCAGAGGGCTTTGGTGGTGGCAAAGCTGAATGAGATTCCGCTTCTAGAAACTGGACGAAAAGCCCTGAAAAAGAATTCTTGGCCATAGGTCGGTGATTTGGCTTCACACGTGTGTTGGGGGCGCTTTTGGATCCAGGCCCCCGACTCATCCAGCTGGTACCACCACCTGGCCCTTCACTGAACAGCTGCCGCATCTGGTCTTCTCGGATCCCCAGCATGCTTCCCATCAACCTTAAGGCTTCCTGCCGTTCAGCGTCAGGGGCTTGGAAAGATCCCAGGAAGAGTCTCCTTAGTAGGGTTTTGTCCACCATTCCTTCGGACTTACTGACTAAGTTCATCAGTTTCTTCTGTGTGTCCTCCAGGATTTCCTGCTGGACCTCATTCTGTTTCTGGAATTCTTGGAGTTGGTCTTCCTTCAGCTCCAAGTCAGCATTTGTTTTATGTAATCGTCCCTGCAATGACTTCAGTTTTCCTTCGAGGCTGTCTGCCTTTTCCATCCATTCGGCGAGTTCCAACTTGAGGTCAGCTAGGATGTGACCATACTGCCTTCCTTCTTCCTGCGAGGCAGCAAGCTGGAGCGCAGTGTCCTCTTTCTGCTGGGTCACCACGTGCAGTTGCTCCTGCAGCGACTCTACCTGCAGACTGGCTCCTCGGCTGGCATTTTCCATGGCAGTGGAAGACAAAACGAGTCTTCCCTGCAAGACCGTCACTTCCTTCCTGAGTTGAGCCACTTTGTCTTCTGAGGCCAGAGCTTCCCGGCGATGAGCGTCTTCGGCTTCTAGAGCGAGGTGTCGCCGTCTCTCCAGCTCCTGGGTTAGGCGTAATTCGCTCTCACGTAAATGGCAAACCTCCTTCTGGAGGGCACAGGTTTCCATTTGTTTCTGTGTCAGGGCCAACAGGACTTCATCTCTCCCCTGTTGGCACAGAACTGTCTTTCCCTGCATTGATGGAACTGCACTGACCGGCCGGTTCAATACCCCGGTCTCGTGCTCTTCTCTCTCTTGCGATAGTTGCTCCAAAGCAAGTGCCTTCTCTTTCATCGCAGCACCCTGGGATTCCTCCTCTCTCCGCATCACTGAAAGCAGCCTATCTGTCTCTTGCAATGCCTCATCTCCCACTGCCTTTTCTCGAGAGTTTTCCTCGACTTTTGCATTTTCCTCTCTCGGTTGACACACATCCATTTCCAACTCTGCTATTCTCTCCTTCAGATTGGTGACCGTCTGCCTCAAAAGTTCATTTTCACTCACTTGGCTACGGAAGTTCTCCTGCAAAGAAAGCAAGTCCTCACTTTTCGCTTGGATTCGGAGCTCCTGATCCCGAATGAAGTTTTGTAGAACGGCCTGTTTCTCCTTCAGCTGCTCGATGTCGGAATCCCTGTGTTCCTGTTCTGGGCCTTCTCCTTCCCACGTGGCAGCCACTGAATCAGTCCATCTCTGCTTATCTTCCTGGAGGGTTCGAATCATCCTATCTTTTTCTTGCATTGATTTTCTCAGCTCTTCTACCTCCACTTGGAGCAACTCAGAAGCCTCACCCACTCTGTCAGATTTCACGGGCTCCAGAGAGTCCGCTGACTCTGAGCAGTCGGGGGAGGGCTCGAGGAAAATCACGTCCAGTTTCCCTAGAAGGAGATCCTTGGCATTGCAAAGCTCCCCGATGCTGAGCTGAATTTGTGCCAGTTCCTTCTCTAAATGTTGTAATTTTATTTCATTGCCTTTGTACGTCTGCATCAGGTCACTAGAGGTCGTCGGTAGTTCAGAATCCTTCTCGCTGCTGGTGAAAGCCCGCGCCTGGAGTTGTGCCAGCTCTCTCTCAAGCTGGGGTGACTCACGCTTCATATTTTGGACTGTGGTCATCACCTGCTGTTTCCACTCTTCCATGATCTTCACTCGCTGTTTTAATGTGTCCCGTTCCTGTAGAAGCTGCTTGAACTGATCCATATGAACGCCTCGAACCTCATTACCAGGGCTGGAGGGTTGCAGGAGTGTCAATAAAGTCTGACATTTCTGACTTAACGCATCCACTTCGAGGTCTTTTTCTCGAACGATGTGTGATAAATTCTGAATCGTTTCTCTAAACATCTCCTGACCACTACTGTCCATTCTAGTGGACAGTTTTTGATTTTCCTCTTGCATCCGCCGGAGGTCTGCTTCTGTGGCAGCCATCCTATCCGCCATTTTGTCATACTCTGTCCTCAGATTGCTGTTCTCCCTCGTTTTCTCATTTAAGACCGCCAAGACCTGTTCGCTTTTCCAAGCGTACTCTTGCAATTGCCGCTGAAGTCGCTCCACGTCCCGGTTCTGGCTGTGAGAAGCCGCAGAGATCCTGCTGGAAAGACCCTGAATCTCCAAGTCTTTCTGCTGGATAATCTGAGTTAGTTTACCAATCTCCTCTTTGGAGAGCCGATCGATCTGTTCCGTCAGTCGGATGTTCTGTTCAGTTAGAAGCTTCATCTCCAGTTCGTGTTCTTTGATTCCTAGGACTGATATTTGAGTTTCGGCTTCACGTGAATCAAGCTTTTCACTTGCGTTTTGTCTGGGAAGAGGCTGACTGGTTGGGACTTCCACATCATCACAGTCTTCTGTCGGAATGTGCTGGCTTTTGTCAGGCAACCGGGCTTTCATTTGGTCTATCGTGTCCTGCAAATGCTGAATCTCCTCGTCTTTCGCTGAAAGGAGCTGAGCGTGTTCAATATTCATCTGCTCCTGCTGGTATTGGAGCTGCTCCACTTTCTGCTTCTGCTCTTGTAAAGAATGAAGCAGTCCTATCTTCCCCTGCTGCTGGTTGTGAATGATCTTCTGCTGCTCTCTGATTTCCTCCTCGAGATCATCCTTTAACTCCTGGAGTTGAAACACCTCACACTCCAGTTCTACGATCTCGTCTAGGATTTTAGGGTCGAGCGCAGGAACAGAGCGACTCTGTTGTCCTAGGCTCTCCAGTTCTTCTCTCAGATGAGGATTTTCGCCTGTCACGGATGGGAGACACCTGTCTTTGTCCTCCACGGATGGCTGGGAAATGTCATTACTTCTGAAGGTTTGGGTAGACTGACCGAATTCCTCCTGAAGCTCTGGACTTCCTGTAAGTTCTTCAATATACATCTCTTTCTCTTTAACGAGTTGTGTCAATCGCTTCTGCTCCTCCAGAGCAGAGGACAGCATTTCCTTCGTTTCTGTATGGTCGGCGTCCATCTGCTCGATCCTCTTTTTGAGGTGTACTATTTCCAGGTCTTTCTCTTGACTGTGTTGAATGCAATGCACATGCTCTAAAGGGGACAATTCTTTGATAGTTTGCTCATCCTTGTTTGTTTCCTCCAACAGCTTCTTTTCCGCCCGAGCCAATTTTGCTATTAACCGTCCTTTTTCTATTTTTAAAGCCCTCACAGCAGTGTTGTTTTCCAGAGAATCCTCGTTGTTCCGGAGAATAGATTCTTCCAGCTGATGTCTTACATCCTGGAGCGCCAAAACCAACTTTTGGTTTTCTGCTCTGAGATCAGAAGCAACGTTGTTTAAACGGTCATTCAGCCGCTCCATTTCTGCAAGTTGTTGCTTCAACCTTCTAAGCTCAGTTTCCCTTTCTTGAAGTAAGTCATCTTTCCCATGACTGGCAGACTCTTGATGTTGCAGGTCTTCTATCCGTCTTTCATACTCGAGGAGTTGTTTGCGGTGCCTGTCAGTGATGTCGGCCAGTTTTTCTTGATGGACACTGTGCAGTATCGCAACTCCGAGTTGATGTTCCTCGATCTCCCTCATCCGCCTCTCTTCTAGGTCCCTGATGGTGCTCTTCAGTTTCCAGATGGCATTGGAGTCTGAGCTATTCGGTCCCTTGGACAAATGTTTCCAAAGTGTAAGATCAGCCTCCAGTCTTTGGATCTCATTGAGGAGTCTATTGATTTCTGTCTGAGATGATATGACATCACCAAAGTCCATGGTGAGATCCGAGTTGGAGCCGGTCAAGGAAGTCTCACTGCCATCCACTCCTCCCTGGGAATGGCCTAGGCCAGAGCCCAGGCCACCAACCCAGGAGCACATCTTCGCGGGTCATATAACTGTCGCGGTCCGCTGTGGAAAAGCGTCCAGCGCAGTCGGACTACCCCGCCAAGTGTCCCAGAACGCCTGCTTGCGCCAGGCTAAGAATCAGAAGACAACAGGCGTTTCTAGGCAACGCCTGCGCGGGCCCGGCACGCGCCTCCCCTGCGCAGGCCACGTTGCTAGGAAAGCCCGAGACCTTGGGCCTTCCCAGGGCCGACTCTGGCCACCGGTCCCGGTCCCAGACGCTCAGCCCCACGACTTCCCACGCAGGGCTGGGCCCCTTCCCCTGTTCCCCCTGCTTCCTGGCTGTCCTGGGTGGGCCCCTAGCGAGTGCTCCTGCCTGACTGCCCCCAGGTGCCCGCCCACAGAAAATGCATCTGGCCCTGGACTTTCCCCCAGGAAATGCATGCAATGCATGCAATGCATGCAATGCATCCATTCACCTAGGAGAGCAGATCCTAGGTGCATTTGACAAATATCTACACCTGCGCAGAGGCACGGCCCTCAAGGAGACTTTGGGCATTTCCAGCCTCCAGAGGCTCCAGAGTGTTCCGTCCTTCCGTGCCCTGCCAGCTCTGCGGGGACAGTGCGTCCCACACCGGGGTTTGGCGGTTCACCGGTGGCTCCGTGCGCTGCGCGCATCCGCTGCCTCGCGGAGGTGTGCGGCTGGACCCGGCAGGGGGTCGCGGGCGGCGGTGGCGGTGCCCGAGAGGGGGCCTCCGGGCCCTGCACAGGGCGGCCCCGGGGTTCCCGCCCTGGGTGGAGGACGGGCTGGGTACCGCGTCCCGGGTCTGGCCTCCCAAGGCCCCGACCTGCCGCGCCACTGGATGAGAGGCGGCGAGGGGGGGGCGCCGGGCCCACAGCCGCTTCCACTGCCGCCTCGGGTGGACATGAAGCGACGTCGGCCCCCCTCCCCCCGGGCGATTCCTCGAGCTGCCCGGCCCTGGCCGTGCCGGCCCCCGCCGCCGCCGCCAGCAAGAAGCAATCCAGCTGCATGAAGCAGCTGACCAACCAGACCGTGGGCAGGCGAGCGCGTCGATCCGGATCGGCAGGAGCCCAGACCAGGCTCGGGCGCGGGAGGGCCGGCTGCTCTCCTGGTCGCGCGCTCTGTCCCTTGCCGCCGCCCCACATCAGGCCTCGGGGTCTGGGCCTGGGGCTGCGCCACGCCAAGACCTGGAGCCCGGCTCGGTGCCGCTGCCCGAGCCCCTGGGGAGCAGCTGGGTGGGTCGGCTGTCCCCGTCGCCCTCTGTCCAGGCCCCACCCAGCATCGCCCTGGGCGCACTGGACCCGAGCCTTCCCCTGCCCTCCCCCGGGCTTTGCCCTGGCTGAAAACTCCGGGAACCAGTGAGCCCCAGGCCGAGCGGACGCTGTGCTCTGCGGGCGATGGCCTCAGGCTTTCCGGGTCGCCCCGCCGCTGCAGACCCTCCACCTCCCAGTGCCTCATGGCACTAAATAAGTAAGGGGCCATCAGAGCCCATCGGATCCGCCTACGAGGTTCGGGCGTCCATCCAGGCACTGTAGAGGTGCCGCTGTCTCCAAAGCCGGGCCCCTGTGGACCGGACTGCCCAAGACCTTGACATTGAGAAATTGGGAACTGCGAGGAAAGAATTGTGGAAACGCCTTGGGACGACTTTTAGTTTAATTTTGAATAGCTTTTGAAAAAGCGTTTCTCCCTTTGGATTTGGGAGCCGATTCTTCTCCAGGTTTCTTTGGGGCTGCTTTAATGCTTGACAGGAAACACGATCGATTATGAAATGACAGAACAGACCGGAATTGGTAGACCATCAGGCTGCTGCAACAGGAACGACGGGTGGTTCTGAGAGCTCCTGCAGGTGACTGTCATGTGCCCCGTTATCTGGGGCACATCTTTCAACGTCTTTGGGGCAGGTGGCTGTACTGGACCTACTCTTTAGGCTGGCAGACATATGAAAGTGTGAGTTTTCCACAGCTTTTGCTTCTTTTTTTCCCCAATAGTGGGGTCAAAAGGGGAGTTCAGTCTGACCAAAGCACGTGTGTGCATGGCACGTCCATCCTGTGTGTTCTCCATTCATAGAGCATTGCAGGGCCACGTGCTCGTCCCAAGATCGAGGACCTTGTGAGCAACCCCACAGTGAGGTTCGGTGGTGCTGTGCGGCTTTCTCGTGACTATCATTGGAAAGTCGACCTCAGAATACTTACCTGGGAGAAGATCTTCATCCTGAGGACAAATACACAGTACGTTTTCTAATTCTGCATTCCCTCATACATTGACCGACCATCTTCATGGACTGAACACTAGGCCCCAAACAGCAAAGGTGGACTTAGCGCCTTAAATTACGAACACTATGGTCAGAAATGTATTTTTTAGGTGACTTTGGTCTCCGCATGGAGAACGGACGGAGGACAAAAGTTAGGAGGATCTCACAGCCATCCAGGAAGAAGGTCCAGGGAAGAAGTCATGGGGAGCCTGAACTGGGGCAGCCGCCACGGGGATGGACACTGAGAGGTGGGGACGCACTGAGAGGTGCTGGGGAAGTAGAACCTAACAGACTTTTCCAAAACCCAGACTGAGACAGATTAGGGAGGGTCAGGAAACCACTGTGGGGGGGGGCGGGGGGGGAACCAGCATTTAGGGGATCAAATAGGATACAAGAGCAAATATCACAAAGCACCCCACACTGTGAGGGCGAGCACCAGCTTGTGGTACTACTACTTTTTCTGTGAGAGGAGAGCACGGTGGGGGGAAAGGGCCGGCACTCTGGAGCCGGGGAATGGGCTTCCGATCCCAGCTCCACCACGTGTCTGCTGTGAGGCGCTGGAAGTCACTCACCTCCCCGGGCCAAGCGTTCCTCGTCTGCACAGTAGAGAAAGTGATAGCACCTCACGGGGTTGTGAGGATTCCTGAGGAAATACATACACGGGAGACTCTCCCAGCAGGACCTGCCCTAGTAAGCGCCGTGGCTGTGCCTTTATGACTTATGACACGGGACACAGACGTGGGGCCTGAGGTACACACACACCGTGAATCGACAGACCGCAAAGATTCCCCTGAACAAGCACAAGGCCCTGTGTAGAGAACAGGGAAGGAACCCGGACTTGCAGGAGCTGCAGTCCTATTGTCCTGGTTCTGCCACTAACCAGACCCGTCGCCTTTCCCGTCAATGAGCGTAGTTACATACACCTGTTCTTGCCCCCTAACAGAGCAGGTGAGGGACCAAATCAGGGAACAGCTACAAAAGGCCTTTGTTTCATATCACCATCACCCAGCCTTGCACATCCTCAAACCGTACCGAGGACACTGTCATGACGACCATAAAATCATCGTTATCAGACATGGATGGAACTGGAGGGTGTTATGCTGAGCGAAATCAGTCAATCAGAGAAAGACATGTATCGTATGACCTCACTGATACGAAGAATTCTTAATCTCAGGAAACAAACTCAGGGTTGCTGGAGTGGTGGGGGGTGGGAGGGATGGGGTGGCTGGGTGATAAGGCATTGGGGAGGGTATGTGCTATGGTGAGCGCTGTGAATTGTGTAAGACTGTTGCATCACAGATCTGTACGTCTGAAAGAAATAATACATTATATGTTAAAAAAAAAAAGAAGATAGCAGGAGGGGAAGAATGAAGGTGGGGAAATGGGAGGGGGAGATGAACCATGAGAGACTATGGACTCTGAAAAACAAACTGAGGGTTCTAGAGGAGAGCGAGGTGAGAGGATGGTGTAGCCTGGTGATGGATATTGGGGAAGGCACGTTCTGCACGGAGCACTGGGTGTGATGCACAAACAATGAATCACGGAACGCTACATCAAAAACTAATGGTGTAATGAATGGTGAGTAACATAACATAATAAAAAAGGAAACCTCTTCCTTATCGTCAATATGGCAGATGCAGGGGCTCTGGGTCTCACAATTCCACTGGCAGGGCTCTTCCACACGTGCTGAGGACATGTCTACAAGGACTTTTTTTTATCATAACCCCTGTTGCAACAGCAAAGGATGGGAAGCCAGGCACCTATCCTTCAGCGAGGCCCTGGGGACATCACGTATGTGGCTGAGGGTGGCAGCAGGTGCAAGCAGCTGGGGACAGGGGCGCGAGACAGGCAGTCACTGCATTCCTTCTGAATATATTTTTAACATTTTTGAACCAGGCGGGCACCTTCACGAATGAAACAATTCGGGAAAGAAGAAGGGGAATTTTCATTTACCTTTAATCTCCAGAAGGTGGTATCTACCCCAGCCCCAAGATTTAGAATTTGATAATGACATTCTGTCTTCCGTAGAAATGCCTTCAGCAGCTGGCTGATGCCATGGACTCGAGCAAAATATCCCGAGAGACAGAGACAAGCTATCGCTCAGTCAGGTTGGAAATCATCCCTGCAGAGCCCAGCCCAGGAGAAGAGCCAATGAGGACTCTTCTGCTCTTCTTTGGGGTCAGCGGTTTATCTGTGGACTTCATGGGAGAAAGAGTGACTTTCACATTCTCTTGTTTTTTGTTTTCGGTTATGTTAATCACCATATAGTGCTTCAGTAGTTTTTGATACAGCGTTCCATGATTCATGATTTGCGTGTAACACCCAGTTTTTTTTTTTTAAAAAGCTGTTTGAACTCAAGTAAGTACAATCTACTTGATGGTGGAATTAACCATCTTAAAAAAAAAAAAAGTCCCATAATTTTACATAAGAAAGACAAGGGTTTTACATGAAAAATCAGATCTAAATGTTCCTCTTGGAAATGTACTTTCTCTTGGTTAGGTGTAAGCCTCTCAAGACTCTGTGAAAACTCAACAATGCGAGATCATGACGAAAATAAGATTCTGGGGTCAGGAAATGGGGCAGATAAATGTCAAAGCAAAAAAAAAAAAAAAAAAAGAAAAGAAAAGCCGTATTTCCACCACGTTCCCTTCCTCTCCATCCTGTGTGGGTAAGAGCCCCTGTTTATAAAGTGGCCTCATAGACCGTCTGCGGGAGGGGAAGGCATGAGCAAACGTTGCCGAATAAATGGACTGGTTCAGCTGTGGGTTGGGGAGCTGGAGTGAAGGCGATGAGGAATAAAAGGGGGGAAAATGGAAAACAGTATCTGTTCTAAGTGGGGGAAATGGAAGATAATATCTGTTCTAAAGCCCTGTTGTTTAAAGTATAACTACTTTAAGAACAAAATTTCAGTAGCATTTAGAAACTTACTGCAATGTGACATAGGAATTCTACGTCTATTGATTCTCCTCATAAATAACTTGAGCTTCTATTTGATGTGTCTCTTGCATTTTATCTTTCTAGGAAATCATTTTTCATGTATGTTATAGAATATCGTCCACAACAGAGAGATTATTGGAACAAAACTTTAAAGATGCTCACCACATGTTGCCTGGGAAGCCCTCTCCTAGGGGGTCCGGTCTGGAGATGCCAGCCCATGCAGAGGAAGAAGGAAGGAAGGCCGGCTGACACCCTGCCTGGGGCGTCTAGCTCCCAGGGCCCCAACTTGGGTTCCCACCTCTGTAGCCCTGGTTAGGAAAGCTGCCTCAGGAGCCTGGGAGAGAGGATTTCAGGCCTCTTAGCCAGGCCTGGCCCCATCTCCCTGATGCCTGGGTTCACCCTCAGCTCCAAGTAAGGTCCATGTCCTTATTCTCAGGAACCACCACTTTGCACTTTCTTTCCATTTCTTACAGAATCTACCCATAGGCTCCATCTTTAGGGTGAGGATTCCCTGCATGCCCAAGGACTGTGGTCATTTGGTCACTTTCTCAATCTGACTAAGTCACCCTCCCATCTCAAATCCCTTCACTGCCTTGATAGAAAGGACTTCAGAGCCTAACAGTGTTACTATCATTTTACTAAGGTCAAGAAAGGAATTCCTTACTTGACCAGACAGTTCACTGTAAAAGATAATATAAATGGCTCTTAAACATATAAAAACGATCTTCAACTTCACCCCCCAAAATAAGAGGAATATAAAATAAAATGACGGGGGCACCCGGGTGGCTCAGTCGTTAAGCCTCTGCCTTTGGCTCAGGTCATGATCCCAGGGTCCTGGGTTCGAGCCCCGCTTCGGGCTCCCTGCTCCTCGGGAAGCCTGCTTGTGTTCCATCTCTCACTGTGTCTCTCTCTGTCAAATAAAGAAAGAAAATCGGTAAAAAAAATTATACAGTAACATTACTGAAGACACCATCTTTCACATATCAGATTAACCACGATGAAAAGGTTTCTAATACACCGTGCTGGTGAGGATGTTGGGAAATGAGCACTTCCATTCGCCACTGGAGAGAATGAACACTGGAACTCCCTCTTTTGAAGAGTGAATCCCTAAAAGCTCATCTACCTCAAAAGGCCAACAGAGGCACGTCTGGTACTCCATTACAAATGTCGGCAGACTCAGCCATCCGTCTTGGTGCTCGCACACATGGCCCGTCACCGTCCCCACGGCAGCCATTTCTTCCCTTTCTTTACTCGTGCGCCTACCTCCTTCCCCAAGACCCTAGACAGCACAGAACCTCACCTCATCCCTCACCTAGAAAACCTGCCACCACTTATTCCCTCAGCAAACCCACGGGTGAGAGCCAGTCAGAGAACTCTGCTCGACCGGAAGTTCTGTGTCCATAGGAAAGGAGATCCAGGATCGTTCCGGAAAACTCACGAACGACTACCTAAGTATTTCCCCCGGCTCTGGATTAGGAACCGGTCCTTCCACACCCTTTAAGCAAGTCCTAGTGGGAAAACCAGGAACAAAGAAACACAACAGCCACAACCTAGAAAATGTTATAGTAGCCTTCACTTTCTGGTCTACACTATAACCTGGAAAATGCTATGGTAGCCTAAACTCTCCCCGGTCTACACTACAAGGAACCAAACTTTCAGTGTTCTAAACCAGGGAGCTGAAGCCCAGATTACCACTGAAGGGCTTCTGACAACCGTTGAGGGAACCAGCCTTAGGACAAGGAGAAGTACTGGAAGGACACTGCATCCCTAAAACCATGCGAAGCCCCTGTGGGCCTATAGCCTGCTCTGCCCCTCATCGGATAATGTGAATTAATAAATGCCCCTCATGTGAATTAATAAATGTCTTTACCATTTCAACCAAATGGAGGGGCAGCTGGGTGGCTCAGTCAGTTGAACGGCCAACTCTTGGTTTAGGCTCAGCTCAATTGTGTCCATATCAATTAGATCTATGGCAGAGAGTACATCCTCCGGTTCTTTCTTTTGTTGTGAATTCCTCCTTCTATTCCTTTTGCCCAGAGAAGAATGGAGGAACAAGAGAGCAACATAAAAAATATCAACCACGACGCAAGCAAATACACACTAGTCAAATCCGAAGAGGTCAGAAACCAAAAAAGAGAAGAAAAAAGAAATGTGGGGGGTGGCTGGGGGGTGGGAGAAGAGAGAATATTATCTCCCAGGTGGTCAAACCTCCATGAAATCCTGGGTGTATTTTGGCCTGTTTGTTAAAAGACACTAAATCCCAGAAGTGTAAAATCACCAAGGTTACATATATACAGACATAAAATTGAATGTAGCAGAAGGAAGCAAAACTGAAGACTATCTCTAAAAAATGGAAATGTAGAAAATGACAATCAAAAACGACTTAAAATGAAAGAGTTGATAAAATAAGAAACTAGTTGGGAAGAAAAAAAGAAAAGGAAAATTTTAAACTGCAAGATAAACGAATCATGAAATAACCTTTGAATTCAATTTACTGTTTTCCCCTAGTGCTGGAGTTTTGCACTCCTGTGGGCTCCTAAACTTCTTCCCCTGTTCTTCCAGCTGCTTTGCTCGGGGAGTGGCCTGCTGTGCTGACCCTCAGGTGTCTTGGCCTGGGGGGAGTTGTACCGCCCCTTGCAGGGGGGGGGGGGCGGGCTCAGTGTAAACTGCTTGTAGTTGCTCTATGTGATTCTATTCCCCGAAGGCTCTCTGGGCCACTTGAGAGGATGAAAAGAAAAATGGCCACGCCCCGATTTCCAGGCCCGGAGCGAAAAGATCGAGGTCCCCTCTCTTCAGTAAACTGTCAGGGATAAGCGGTCTTCAGTTTTGTGTGTGCCAAAGTCTGCAGGCTCCTGTGGTGAGGGCCTGCACCGATCCTCCTGGGAGAAGGCAGAGGGGCGCCGCCTTGTCTGCCCTGTGCAGGACCCGCATACAATAGCTGTCACCCAGATGAGCCGTGGTTCGTGGTTTATGGCAAACTGAGTTGAGAACCCCCCCTGCTCCCTGACCCTAACCAGTTTCCCCACTCCAGTGCCTGGGAACTCTGCCGGCTCAAGCACCCCTGTTCTTCCTGTGACCCCAGGGATCCTGAGGTCACACTGTCCCACCTTGGATGCTGCCCCACCTTGCCACCAGAGCACCTTTCAGGCAGGGCTATCTCTTAGCGGAGAAGATTTCTAAAGGTTCTGATTTTGCGCTCTGGGGCTGTATCACTTGCCTGTGGCCGGCTTACACAGGCTCCCTCTCCCCGCAGAGGATCTTCCCATATATCCCCGCAGATTCACTTCTCCGCACCTCTTACTTTGCAAAAAGTGGTCACTTGTCTATTAGTAGAATTCCAGCAATTCCTTCCTTACATCTCAGGTTGAATTCAGAGGTGTCCAGGATGATTTGATAGTTATCTAGCTACATTCAAGGGACCAGATGAAACGAGCTCCCCTACCGTGCCACCATCTTGCCTCCCTCCTTCGATCTCTTCCTTTTGTTTTGAAAGATTTATTTATTTTAGAGAGTGAGCGGGGGAAGGGGCAGAGGGAAAGAAAAATCCTGAAGCAAGCAGACTCCCCGCTGAGGAGTTACTGCAGGCCCTGAGGAGAAAGAGAGAGAGAGAAAGAGGGACAGAAGGTATATATGAACAAATCATAGCTGAGAACTTTCCTAATCTGGGGAAGGATACAGGCATACAAGTTCAAGAGGTAGAGAGAACCCGTTTCCAAATCAATAAAAATATATCAGCACCCTGACATACAGTAGCGAAGCTTGCAAATTTCAGAAATAAAGAGAAAATCCGGAAAGCATCTCAAGACAAGAGGTTCCTAACCTAGACGGGTAGGAACATTAGGCTGGCAGCAGACCTATCCACAGAGATCTGGGAGGCCAGAAAGGGCTGACATCATCTATTCAGGGTACTAAATGAGAAAAACATACAGCCAAGAATACTTTCTCCAGCAAGGCTGTCATTCAGAATGGAAGGAGAGCTAAAGGGCTTCCTGGACAAATAGAAACTGAAAGACTATGGGACCACTAAACGAGCCCTGCAAGAAATACTAAAGGGGGGGACGCTTGGGTGGCTCAGTCGGCTAAGCATCTGCCTTCAGATCAGGTCATGATCCCAGGGTCCTGGGATCGAGCCCCGCACTGGGCTCCCTGCTCCGCGGGAAGCCTGCTTCTTCCTCTCCTACTCCCCCTGCTTGTGTTCCCTCTCTCGCTGTGTCTCTCTCTGTCAAATAAATAAAATCTTAAAAAAAAAAAAAAGAAAGAAAGAAATACTAAAAGGGATCCTCTATGCCAAGAGAGAGCCCAAAAGTAACACTGGACCAGAAAGAAAAAGATCTACAGAAACAGGGACTATACAGGTAATACAACGGTACTAAACTCATCTCTCTCAATAGTTACTCGGAATCTAAATGGGCTAAATGCTCCAATCAAAAGACACAGGGTAGGGGCGCCTGGGGGGCTCAGATGGTTAAGCGTCTGGCTTCGGCTCAGGTCATGATCCCAGGGTCCTGGGATCGAGCCCCGCATCGGGCTCCTGGCTCAGCGGGGAGCCTGCTTCTCCCCCTCTCCCTCTGCCTCTCTCCCTGCTCATGCTCTCTCTCGCTCTCTCTCTCTCTCCCTGTATCTCTGTGTCTCAAATGAATAAATAAAATCTTCAAAAAAAAAGTCATCATTTAAAAAAAAAAAAAAGACACAGGGTATCCGACTGCATAAAAAAGCAAGACCCATCCATATGCTATCTACAAGAGACTCATTGTAGAACTAAAGACACCTCCAGATCGAAAGTGAGGGGGTAGAGATCCATTGATCACGCGAATGGACCTCAAAAGAAAGCTGGGGTAGCAATCCTCCTATCAGACAAATTAGATTTTAAACCAAAGACTGTATTAGGGGATGAAGAAGGATGCTATATCATACTTCAAGGGCCTACCCAACGAGAAGATCTAACAATTATAAATATATATGCTCCTAACTTGAGCAGCCAATTACATAAACCAATTAAGAACCAAATGAAGGAAACACGACGAGAATCATACAATAACTGTAGGGGACTTCAACACCCCACTCCCAGCAATGCACAGATCATCTAAGCAGATGATCAACAAGGAAACAAGGGCTCTGAATGACACACTGGACCAGATGGACTTCACAGGTACATCACAGCATGCCATCCTAAAGCAACAGAATACACATTCTTCTACAGGGCACATGGAACATTCTCCAGAAGAGATCCCATACCGGGGCACAAATCAGGTCTCAACCGATACCAAAAGATTGGGATTATTCCCTGCCTCTTTTCAGACCACTATGCTTTGAAACAGGAACTCAGTCACAACAGGAAATAGGGAAGGAACTCAAACACTCGGAGGCTAAAGAGCATCCTACGAAAGAATGAATGCATCAACCAGGAAATCAAAGAAGAATTAAAGATTTCATGGAAATGAATGAAACTGAAAACACAGCCGTTCAAAACCTTTGGGATCCAGCAAAGGCGGTCCTAAGAGGAAAGTACATAGCAATACAAGCTTTCCTCAAAAAATCAGAAAGTCTCCAATACACAAGCTAACCTTACGCCCAAAGGAGCCGGAGAATGAACAGCAACTAAAGCCGAAACCAAGCAGGAGAAGAGAAATTATAGAGATTAGAGCAGAAAACAATGAAATAGAAACCAGAAGAACAGTAGAACAATCAATGAAACCAGGAGCCGGTTCTTTGAAATTATTAATAAGCTTGATGAACCTCAAGCCACACTTATCCAAAAGAAAGGGGAAAGGACCCAAAATAATAATGTCATGAATGAAAGAGGAGAGATCACAACCAACACCAAAGAAACACAAACCATCTTAAGAACACACACAGCAACTATAGGACAACAAATGAGGTCATCTGAAAGAAATGGATGCGTTCCTGGAAACTTGTAAGCCACCAAAACTGAATCAGGAAGAAATACAAAACCTGAACAGACCCATAACCAGCAAGGAAACTGAAGCAGTGATCAAAAAATCTACCAACACACAAGAGTCCAGGGCCACATGGCTTCCCAGGGGCATTCCACCAAACATTCAAAGAAAAACTAATACCTATTCTTCTGAGGCTGTTTCAAAAAACAGAAATGGAAGGAAAACTTCCAAACTTGTTCTCTAAGGCCAGCATGACCTTGATCCCAAAAACAGACAAAGACCCCATGGATGCAAAAATTCTCAGCACAATACTAGCGCATAGGATCCAACAGCACATTAAAAGGAGTATTCACCGTGACGAAGTGGGATTTATTCCTGGGCTCTAAGGGTGGTTCCACATTCGCAAATCAAATCAATGTGATACTTCACATTAATAAAAGAAAGGTCAAGATCCGTATGATCCTCTCAACGGATGCAGAAAAAGCACCGGACAAAATGCAGCATCCTTTCTTGATTAAAACTCTCCACAGTATAGGGGTAGAGGGGATATACCTCAATAACATAAAACCCATCTATGAAAAGCCCACAGCGAATATCATTCTCAATGGGGAAACACGGGGACCTTTTCCTCTAAGGTCAGGAACATGACAGGGAGGCCCACTCTCACCGCAGTTCTTCAACTAGAGAAGTCCTAGCCTCAGCAATCAGAAAACAACAAAAAAGAAATCAAAGGCATCCGACTGAGCAAAGAAGTCAAACTCTCACTCTTTGCAGATGACATGATACTTTATGTGGAAAACCCAAAACACCACCCCAAAATTGCTAGAACTCATACAAGAATTCAGCAGGATATAAAATCAATGCACAGAAATGAGTTGCATTTCCATACACTAACAATGAGACAGAAGAACGAGAAATGAAGGAATCGATCCCATTTACAAATGCACTGAAACCCATAAGATACCTAAGAATAAACCTAACCAAAGACGTAAAGGATCTGTACTCCAAAAACTACACAACACTTAGCAAAGAAATTGAGGAAGACACAAAGAAATGAAACAACGTTCCATGCTCATGGATTGGAAAAACACTGTTAAAATGTCTACACAGAGTAATCGAACCATTCGATGAGATCCCCATCAAAATACCATCAACTTTTTTCACAGACTGTAACAAATCATCCTAAAATGTGTATGGAACCAGAGAAGACCCCGAATGGCCAGAGGAATGTTGATAACGAAAACCAAAGCTAGTGGCATCACAATGCCAGACTTCAAGCTAGAGTACAAAGCTGTAATCATCAAGACAGTATGGTTCTGGCACAAAAACAGACACATGGATCAACGGAACAGAAGACAGAACCCAGAAATGGACCCTCAACTCTATGGTCAACTAATCTTCGACAAAGCAGGAAAGAATATCCAGTGGAAAAAGGACAGTCTCTTCAATAAATGGTACTGGGAAAACTGGACAGCCACATGTAGAAGAATAAAACGGGACCATTTTTTGGCACCATACACAAAGATAAACTCAAGATGGATGGAAGACCTTACTGTGAGACAGGAATCCATCAAAATCCTAGAGGAGAACACAGGCAGGAAGTTCTTCGACCTCAACCGCAGCGACTACTTGCTACATACATCTACAAAGGCGAGGGAGCAAAAGCAAAAATGAACTATTGCAACTTCATCAAGAGAAAAAGCTTCTGCACAGCAAAGGAAAAGGTCCGCAAAACTAAAAGGCAACCTACGGAATGGGAGAAGATATTTGCAAATGTCTTATCAGATGAATGGATAAAGAAGATGTGGTATATATATATATGTGTGTGTGTGTATGTGTGTGTATATATATACACATATATATATGTGTGTATATATATACACACATACACACAATGGACTATTACCCAGCCAACAGACAAGATGAATACTTACCATTTACATGCACACGGATGGAACTGGAGGGTATTATGCTGAGCGAAATAAGTCAATCCGAGAAAGTCAAATATCAAATGGTTTCACTCATATGTGCAATATAAGAAACAGGGCAGAGGACTGTAGGGGAAGGGAAGGAAAACAGAATGGGAAGTCATCAGCGATGGAGAAAAACCGTAAGAGACTCTTAACTCTAGCAAACAAACGGGAGGGTTGCTGGAGGGGTGGTGGGTGGGGGGATGGAGTAATTCGGTGATGGGCACTAAGGAGGGCATGTGATGTGATGAGCACTGGGTGTTATATGAAACTGACAAACTACTGAACACGACATCTGAATCTAATGATGTACTGTAAGTTGGCTAATTGAATTTACATTAAAAAAAGTAATAAATAAACCAAATGGAGTTGGTCTTCTGTTACACCCTGAAATGTCCTAAGTGGTATTCTGAGCGCATCAGTTCATTTCCATTTGCTTGATGAGTAAGCTGAAAGGGGTAGGGGGTGTGGGGGGGGAGGGGAGGGGGTGTGTGTGTGGGGGGGTGTGCACGCTCGTGTGTGTGTGTGTATGTGTATGTGATGTCACCCAGCTGGGTTCTGAGCTCCCAGAAGCAGACAGATAATATATCTTCTCTTCATATCCACTGACAAGGCTTACCGCTGCCTGGACTACAGTAGGTGCTAATCCTGTACAAACACGCCCCCCGCCATCTCCCACGTCCATATTCCCACATCCACAGACACCCATAAGGAAGCACATACCTACTGCTGCTCAAGGCAGCAGCTCAACACAGAAACACACCAAGTACTCACTAAGGGACACAACTTGCTACAGCCCAGACTGTCAAGGAAAACTGACCCACAGAGTTTTACAAGGCTGAACAGGCTGCGTTGTCTAAAACAGTGCTTTTCAAACAGTGGATTGTGACCCATCCGTGTCATAAAATCAGTGTAATAGTTTGCAAATCCCCGTCTTAGAAAATGCAGTCAGCTAGAGTAAACTAGAAAAAATCAGTATGCGTTACATACTGTACGAGTTAAAGACTGTTTCTGTGAAGTTGTTGAAGTGTGTGTTTGGGGTATAAGTGCCATGAAAAATCTGTTCTCTACACAAACAAAAAAAATAGACCCTTAAACACCGAGAGCAAACTGATGGTTGCCAGACGGAAAGGGGGGGGGCGAAATTGGTCAAAGAAATTCAGAGTTACAAGCTTCCACTTATATAAATAACTCACAAAGATGAAAAGTACAACATCCGGAATATAGTCCAATAATATTGTCATAACAACTGTACCGTGACAGATGGTGACTATACTTAATCGTGGTGAGTGCTGAGTAATGAGCAAACTTGTCGAATCACGATGCTGCACACCTGAAACTGACATAACATTGTACAGATCAACGATACTTCCATAATGAAAAGAGAAAAAACTGTGTTCTCACTGTGGGTGGTTGGATGAGCACTGTCCTCACAGCCTTCATCTGGTGCCATCCAGTGGTAAAAGCCCTATCTGCAGTCGAGAAAGAACCACAGACCCGGGAGAAGAGTCCGCAAACATGGATGTCTGGTTGGAAGGGGCCTTCCAAATGACCTGGTCGACCCTGACATGCAGGGCAAGCACCCTTCAACAACACCGAGCTACTGCCTGAGCACGCCCCACCACGGAGGCACTCGCTCCCCCGCTGAGCAGCTCTACCTGCTGAAAAGCTGACCAAGCCGCCTTCCTCTAGGAGCTCCTCCCTGTCCTTCCTACTGCCCTCTCCTGGATGACAAGGAGCAGCTTCTGTGCTCGCCCTCAGTTTAACACTCTTGATCCAGTCAAGCAATACTTGTTGAGTGTCTGCTAAGTGCCAGGCACTGGGGATACAGTGGGGAACCCGGGAAGACACAGCGACAGAGACACAGAGAAGTCAGAGCTTATGCCAGATGAAGGACAACAGCATGGGGGCAGGAAGCGCCTCGGAATGTTCCAGTAGCAGAAGGTATACAGGGAGGTTGAAGAACAGCAGAGAAACAGGTGAAAGCTCAGAGATTTCTGGGCTGTATGTGTTTTCATTTCTCTCTGTTTTATAATTTTTCTAAACTAACCATAGGCCATATTTCATTCTAAGACACCATCAATTGTAAGACTGAAAAAAGAAAAAAGAAACACTGCCAGTTAGTCCATGTCTTTCTTATTGCTTACAATTCTCATTTCATGTTTATGAAAAAGCCCTTTTAGACTTTTGGGACAGAACAAAAGGGAAAGGATGAGTGACATGAGTTGGTCAAGTCTTCCCTTTCAGGAGATCTGTGAGTTGCCACACAACACTGACCTTCGAGCCGCCAAGGGCACTGGCGAGGCTGAGTTTCTGAAGAGATCGCCATCACCGGCTCTGAGATTGCTTTCCAAGCTCCCGACCCTCCAGGTGTAGGCTGTGTTCCTCTGTCTTTCTTGATCTCGTCAGAAGGTCTCAACGGATGGTTCTGGAATAGCAATCGGGATTTGCGCTCCTTCTTCAAATGGCCCTTAAATGGTACGTGGACCGAAGCAGCCAGGGGCTGCAGGTGCAGCGGTCCAGCCACGCCACGAGGAAGACCGAGCACGTCCACGTGCACAGATAATGACAACTCCAACATGGTGCACAGTGACTGCAGGACACATCAAGAGTGAATCTGGGCGCCTGGGTGGCGCAGTCTGTTGGGCAACCGAGTCCTGGCTGAGGCTCAGGTTGTGATCTCAGAGTCTTGACATGGAGCCCCACGTCTGGCTCCGCACTGGGCGTGCAGCCTGCTTGGGATCTTTCTCTCTCCCCTCCCCTCCCCTCCCTACCACCGTTCACATGTGTTCTCGCTCTCAAAAAGTTAAACAAATAAATAGATAAAATAAAACCCAAAGAATGAAAGATCTCTTTATTTATTTTTTCTTTATTGTGCTATGCTGGTCACCATACAGTACATCGGTTAGTTTTTCATGTAGTTGTTCCATGATTCATTGTTTGCGTATAACACCCAGGGCTCCATGCAATACGTGCCCTCCTTAATACCCATCACCGGGCTAACGCATCGCCCCACATCCCTCCCCTCTAACACCCTCTGTTTGCTTCTCAGAGTCCATAGTCTCTCATGGTTAGTCTCCCCCTCCGATCTCGCCCCCTTCATTTTTCCCTTCCTTCTCCTAAAGTCGTCCACGCAATTCCTTATGTTCCACAAGTAAGTAAAACCATATGATAAGTGACTTTCTCTGCTTGACTTAAGATGTCATATTTAGGGGCGCCTGGGTGGCTTAGTCGTTAAGTGTCTGCCTTCGACTCAGGTCATGATCCCAGGGTCCTGGGATCGAGGCCCGCGTCGGGCTCCCCGCTCAGCGGGAAGCCTGCTTCTCCCTCTCCCACTCCCCCTGCTTGTGTTCCCGCTCTCACTGTCTCTGTCAAAATAAAGAAATAAAATCTTTAAAGAAGGAAAAAAAAGATCCCATATTTAGAAAGACCTTTTCTCAGGGTTTATTCAATCCAGTGTTCCCTGCAATTTTCACTTCTTTTTAGTACCCAGGTCTGACGTGCTACCTAATATTTTCTTCTAACACACCCTGTAATAAATACCTATTAAAATGTAAAACTTCTATCTGGGTGCCACCTCAAGTCATCTCCCATTCCTCCCGTGGGAAACACTGATCTGCTGCAGCCACCAGTTCATTCAAGAAGCACTGACTGACTTGGCCCCTTCGGCAGGAGCGTCCCCTGCAACGGTGGGAACTTGCTAGGAAAGGTGTGACATGCCCTCCACCGGAGGGAATGGGAAGGGGCCCTCCCCGCTCTTCCAGCCAGTGAGGGTCCAGGCTGGGGCTGCTTCATTTCACTTCTCATCAACACTCATGAGTGCTGGCTACAATGCCAGGCATTATTCCACACGCTGGACAAACAGGAACACGTACAGCCCTCAGAAGCACCCTCTGTGGAAGGCACCGCTTACAGACAGAGGTCGAGGTTGTTTCCTCAAGCTGTGCAACCTCGGAGGAAACTTAATTCCATTGCTTTGCAAACCTACTTACCCACTTGGACTTCCATCCCTCCCCCAACACTTCAGTTGCTGATATGGTGTCGGTGTGTATGTGTGTCTGCTTCTGTAGGGATACACAGTGCATGTAGATAGATAGATAGATAGATAGATAGATAGATAGATAGATAGATAGATAGATATGCGGTGCCCTGTATGTACATATATATGTACCTACAATGTATATATCTGCAATTGCAAGACTCAATCCAATACTCTCAGCATCGGTTTTCAAGTTGGGAATTTTAACTGCATGCTGCATACGGGCCTTGAAGATATGCTCTACCTCTCATTTTTAATTTTATTGTTGTTCTTTTACGTCCTCTAGTCTCAGTTTTGGGTTCCTATTTCCTGTTGCGTTTATTCTTGCTTATAAATGGAAGGCAGGAAGCAAAGTCTTACGCGCAACAGACTTTGTACCTACACAGACTTTGAGTTTGTTTCCCTTCTTGTGAGCGCTGTTGCTTTCCTCAGCAGATCCGCAAGGCCTTAAGTGTTTAATCACCTAAGAAAAACAAAACAAAAACAAAAGACAAAAAAACACGAAAAACAGGGGTGCCTAGGCGGCTCAGGCGTTTAAGTGTCTGACGCTTGATTCGGCTCAGGTCATGACCTCAGGTTCCTGAGATCGAACCCCGTGTTCAGGCTCCACGCTCAGTGCAGATTCTGCTTGTCCCTCTCCCCCTGCCCCCCTCCACTCTGTCTCGCTCTCTCAAATAAATAAATAAATAAATAAATAAATAAATAAATAAATAAATAAAATCTTAAAACAAAAAAACAAAAAACAACACTGGGCCTCAATTGACTAAGACTCACAGGCTATCATTTCCTCCCAAAGGAAGCTACTGCTATTGCTTTCTGGCTTCATCGAATTGCCAGTTACTTCACAAGGATCAATAGGATCTAAAATCTACTGTCTCTACTGCAAGGAGTCCCTGAACACTGGGCAAGACATGAACGGAAAAGGAACCAACATTGACCAGAGGGTGAATAAGGAGGAGAAGCCAATCAGAAATTTCCCACGGTACAATGTCTCATATCTGACTTAAACAAAAAAGAAAAAAGAAAAAAACAGTTAATAAAGAATACACTAATAAGATACCATGGATCTGAATAATGCTAAAGTACTTTTGGAAAAAATAAAACATTTAAGAACACGTATTCTGAATATTTTCTCCCAGTCTGTCTTGCCTCTTCGTTTTCTTAGTGTATCTATTTTTCCTTTCTAATTAGAACTTTTTGTGTTCTGCATACAAAACATTTGTCTACCTCAAGGTTGTCAAGACATTTTCCCATGTTTTCATACAAAAGTTTTACGGTTCTAGCTTTTTCCTTTTTTAAGATTTATTTATTTGAGAGAGAGCGCGCCCAGGGGGGAGCAGGAGAGGGAAAGAATCTCAAGCTGACTCCTCGCTTAGCGTGGAGCCTGACACAGGGTTCACACGGAGCTCAATCTCATGACCCCGAGATCATGACCTCAGCCAAAATCAAGAGTCGGACTCAAGCGACTGAGCCACCCAGGCGCCGCTGGTTCTCGCTTTCATATTTAGGTTTATGATTCATCCCAAATTAATGTGTGTATGTCAGAATGAGGGAGGGGTCAAGGTCCGTTTTCTTTCCGCCTGAATGTCCAGGTCACACAGAATTATTCATTAAAAAGACTTCCCTTTCCACCACTGAACTGACTGGACACTCTGGGCAAAAATCAGTCGACAGTACTTGCGTTTGGTCTATTTTTTGGACTCTCTGCTCTGCTCATTGATCTCTCTTTGTGTCAAAGACTTGGATTACTGTGGCTTTGCTCTAAGTCTTAAAATTAAGCAAGAAGAAGCAGTGTAAGTTCATCAACTGTGTTCTTCTTTTGAAGACTTTTTTGGCCATTCCAGACCCTTTGCATTTCCATATACATTTTAGAATCAACTTGTTCATTTCTTCTAAAAAACATGGCTAGGATTTAACTGGGATTGCACTGTTTGCATGAATCAAGGCGTGGAGAACAGAAATCTCCAGGACATCAAATCTTCCCCGATGTATGAACAAAACAGAGCTCCCATTTATTTCAGTCTTCTTGAATTCCTCTCAACAAAGTTTTTTACTTTTCTGTGTAAAGGTGTTTCATGTCTTTCATGAGACTTATTCCCAGCCAGTTTGGGGTTGTTTTGGTTGTTGTTTTTGTTGTGTAAGTAGGCTCCACACCCAGCATGGAGCCCAGTGCAGGGCTTGAACTCACAACCCTGAGTTTAAGACCTGAGCTGAGATCAAAACACAGATGATTCATCAACTGGGCCAGCCAGTCACCCCAACCAGTTTACGTGCTTTGATGCTACTCTAAGTATTTAAAATTTTTATTTTCCTATACATGTATTTTTAAAATACATCTGTATGACAAAGAATTCCTATTCAGAATATATAATAAACTCCAATAAGTCAAAACCAAAAACAACATTAACAACAAAAACGGGCAGAAGACTTGAACGTTCGACAGGTCACAAAAGATGTCGGAATGCCCAAGAAACACACGAAAAGGTGCCTAAGATCATGCTTCACCAGGGAAATGCAATGTGAAACCATAATGAGATGCTATTTCACCCTCACTGACAACACAGAATGTTCACGAGGATGCTGAGCAACTGGAGTGTTACTGTATTGCTGGTGGGAAGTGTAAACTGATAAACCACTTTGGAAATTAGTCTAGCAGTTCAATATATCCCTTCGCTGTGACTAAGCAATTCCACTAAGCAATTTCAAGAGAAATTTAAGACTGCTCTAAGAATGTTTATTGTAGCCTATTCACAATGACCAAAAAATTGGATACAACAACATGCCTGATCATCAGATGAACAGATGAAAAAATTGTGGTATATGCACACTACATACAAAGGACCACACCATTTTACACTCACAAAGACTCTCTCCTTAAGCAAACGCTAGCCTGACTCCTCTGAGCCCTCTTCTCAAAGGGGCCTCAACCTTGGCTTATCATATGCAGACTCGCCCAAACACTAACATACTTCCTAACAACAGCTCAAGACCCCACCCCTAGGGTGACTCCAGTCACCCTTAGTCCCTACTGAGAAAACTCAAGGCATCCATGGTTTGTTCAGCCAACAATGAAAAGTCTGGCCTCTGTCTCCCAGTGAGTAAATGCAGGGGGTTTCACGTTTCCCACTTTTTGTAATCTTTTACTTCTCTGATTTAATTCACCTCTGGCATGACTCCCTCATCCTCTCTTTATAATGCCCTCGGTGGGGTGCCTGGGTGGCTCAGTTGTTCAGCCTCCGCCTTTGGCTCACGTCACGATCCCAGGGTCCTGGGATTGAGCCCCACATCGGGCTCCCTGCAGAGCAGGGAGCCTGCTTCTCCCTCCTCCCACTCCCCCTGCTTGTGTTCCCTCTCTAGCTGTCTCTCTCTCTGTGTCAAAAAATAAATAA